TTTAACCAAATAATCATCAACATAACATTAAGTTTTACTTTCAATGCCTAGCCCCAACTTCTCAAACCCTAACCCCTATTATACTCAAACCCCCCACCTTCTCCAGAAATCCACTTCTCAAGCCATGCCTGTTATTAACCCATATTGTTCTCTGAATCCCCGACATTCAGCGGGCGGTAGTTTTTGTTGCTCGGAACACGTTTTTTTTATTTTTATAACTAAATCAATTATTGACTGTAACTTTCAGTACCGCGTTAGTTGCCAAAAAGATTAGGGCTTAGATGCCTAGTTTCGACACTCGGCCGGAGCCGAGAATTACCAGGTAGCCCAGTACCCGTGCATCCCTAATTATAATCATTTCTTGAATAATTAAATGTATTTTGTTCGTGATTAATAAAGCCTGTTTACAACATCATCGCAATTTCTCTTTATCATCTCTGTGCCTATCCTGTCGGTATTCAATGCCGGATTCAAAGCCTCAATTTTTTAATCACCCTAGGAAGGGGGCCTCCAACATCGCAGTATTGCATGGAGACCTCAAAGGGTCTAAATTTGGCCCTGTCAGTATTGGACAACAGATTTTGAAGCACCTTTCCTGGTGGCTCAGTGATAAGTTTGAGGACTTAAAACGCTACAGATTCAAAATTCAATACCTGTATTGATAGTGGATATTTTCAGGGGGACCTATCCCCCCGAATTAATAAGAAAAGTCAGCTGTATAATGAAACAATCTACCAGGAAATATTACGAAGTAATTCTGAATTTCTCTGAAACTAACTGAATTTGTGCAAAGAAACAGTTGGACACAAATGTAAAGACACTGTGAAAACAATATTTATTGAATAACAAGAGCATGTGTATTAACCTTTCCTGGAGTGCTAAGTAAGTTGGAAACCTGCAACATTGATAAATTCTTCAAAATCTGCAATTCTGTCCCAGACTGAGGAAGCATCGCGTTATATAAATAAAATCTATAACGTAATACCTTCTCAAAACAAATTGCACTACTCACACATTTGAAACTGAGGAAGAGTGTTACCTCTAGGTATCACCTGACCTCCCGTTGAAATAAATTACTATCCTACTTCTATAGACGAAATGGAACTGTACAGCTATAACCCCCATGGGCGGACCAGGTATTATTTCAGGGGAATGATAGAGAACAGTAGGTAGCTAGTGAGAGAAAGTAACTAAATGACTTTTTTTTTTACCATATGTTATGTGGAAACTGCACGTATGTCGAATGAACGAAAAATTTTAAATGTTTTACATTCAAATAAGAAGATAAAACACGCATGGTATGCCTACATGCCACAGTAGTTTATTGTGTAGCTTTGCACTTAAATACAAAACAAACAAACGCAGATTCTAAAGCAATAATTTACAATTGTACCAGAACTATCACACACACTTGTGAATCTTCTTGATTAAAGCATTGCGCTCCCCATCCCCAGTGGCACAGCGGAATGTCTGTAGAATTATACCGCAAGAAACCGGGTTTCGATTACCTGTGGTTGGCAGAACACAGATCACCCTTTGTGTAGCTTTGTACTTAATAACAAACAATAACAATTAAAGCATGGCGTATAAATTAACGTTTGATTTTTTTTTCCTGGAATAAAGGTTATCCCTTGTTATCTTTCTAACTATTTGTCTGTCTTTTATTTTACAGTTATACTCATATTGTAGCTTTTCAGATATATTATAATTGACATTATAAAGGCAACTAATTTGAAACAATTCGCACAAAAATACTTAATTTATCATCATGACATCTACTATAGTGAGATTATTAGTCAAGACGGGCTAATGCAAGTTAATATCAAAATATCAACAGTAACTAGGGGAATATTTAGCAATCTAAAGCAAAGACTAAGTTATTACAAACGTTCAGAGTATAATAGTTAAATGTAAATCTGGTAATATCAGTTAGAACGATAATACTATCCGTGATGATAATGAATTACTTCATACTAAATATCCTGTAGAACCTCCTGTTATTCTGTGGAGCCTGAAGATCAGTTTTACCAGAGAATGCCACACAAGTCATAAGATAAAACAGATGTATGTCAGGACTCCAAACAATATCCTTTTCAAAACAGTTATCTTTATCCTATATCAAAAGGTTTTTAACCACTATGATTCTAATAGGAATTATACAAACCTTATTTCGAAGATAAAGCAATTCAAACAGGGTATTACTTGGACCATACCTTATACTTATGATGGTGTTACCGCCCGTCTTTTTAAAACATCAAAATCTGGCTTCAATATTCGAATTATTGATAATATATATATATATATATATATATAAGAAACTTTCACACCACTCTACTTTTAAACCTTAGAATATTCGTAAACAGTTTAATTGTTTGTTTGTTTGTTTGAATTTCGCGCAAAGCTACACGAGGGCTATCTGCGCTAGCCGTCCCTAATTTAGCAGTGTAAAACTAGAGGAAAGGCAGCTAGTCATCACCACCCACCGCCAACTCTTGGGCTACTCTTTTACCAACGAACAGTGGGATTGACCGTCACTTTATAACGCTCCCACGGCTGAAAGGGCGAGCATGTTTGGTGAGGCGTGGATTCGAAGCCGCGACCCTCAGATTGCAAGTCGAGCTCCCTAACCACCTGGCCATACAATTTAATAATTATGGTATTGTATCAGTACCACCTTTAAACTAACTACTTTATCCGAAATGGGACAACTTTTTGGGAAAGAAATAATAAATAAACAGTCCCAAATAAGGCGCAATAATCTTGTCTATGCGTAACGCGAATAAATGTTGTATCTATTTACTTGTTATTTGGGTTTTCTTTAACTCGGACTGAACATTTGAAGTATCTAAACCAGATATATTTGTACACACGGGTGCTAATATATAGAGTTATGTATATACGTGATAATACTCCAGATTAATTTGTTCATTCAAAAGTTTATTAATTAATTGTTTTATTCCATTTCCACCTCTCTTCTTCTCCTTTCAACAACCTTCAGTTACATATTACTTCATATATTTTATTGTGTACTTTTACGAGCTGCGTGTGGCTTTGTGGTTACCGTGTCCGTACTATGATTCCGGGGGTTTATTGGCTAGTGTTCTGTTGTGTAAAAACGAACTCTGGGGTCGTGGATACGCTATAAGTGTGACAATAAAATCCTAATATTCGATCAGAATAGTTTGTAGTATTTTGCCAAATTTCGCTCAAAGCTAATCGAGGTTTTTTTTTTGTGCTAACCGTCCCTAATTTGATATGTTAAAGGGAAAGCAGCAACTTAACGCTACCCACCGCCCAGGATCATTTTATACAATTGGCAAAAGGGGCAGTTGCCTATGGCTCACCGCCGTCAGGGGCCCACCGCTCGTTGCGAGTATAATAAAATATGAAGTGTATAATAAAAAATAATAACAATAAACCAGATTTTTAAAAAAACTATTTTCCTTTTGTATCTCCTTATTTTTTATCACTAATATATTTAGTTCATCAAATTGTATGCCATTTTCTTAAGAGTAAGGGTAAGTCTTAACGCGACACTGCAACCACTAACTCTTGGGTTCGTCCAATCGAATAGTGGAACTGACCCTTGTGTTGCCCTCACGACTGAAAAGGCGAGTTCGGTAATGAGATTCGAACCCGCAGGTTGCGATACGAGTGCCTTAACCATAAGGTCATTCCAGGCCTTGGTCAAACACGAGTAGCCCAACATATGGCAGTGAGTGATGTTTGCAGGATCAAAGCGAAGTCCCTATATTGAGGGGTGTGTGTGTGTGTGTGTGTCAATGACTGAATTTTTGCCAACAACATGGATTTATTAGCATATATTGAAAATAAAGTTGCTTAGTTACATTTTGAACGTAACTCTGTAAAAGGTTGTGCCATGCGCACTATGAACCTTCGGATGCATAGGGTTAAATAGCACGCTGTAAGTAAACAGATAATTGGCATTTTCGGATATCCTTAAACAAAAAAGGTGTAAATGAAGGTAAAGTGTTAAAACTATCAGATATTTGACGAATTTTTCTTAGCATTTTTGTTGTTTGCCTGAAAATTCGTCGCAACAAGAAAATATTTATTTTCCTCACTAGACAGATAAACATTTTGCTAACAGAATTCACAATAAATTGGATTTGTGCGGCACTCTCCCTCTTTGCTACGTCCTAGCTTGTGTAGCTTTGCGCAAAATTCTAAAACAAACAAACAAGAAAATGTATGTATTGTTAAGTTCAGTAATTTTCTGTAGCGTATTGCTTTAAAATGGTACCATTAAGCGTTTAACCTTTGAAACAGGTGTGAATTTATCCACGAACCCGAATTAACCAACGTGCACTCGGTGGGCCGGGTCATTGGAAGAGGGGAAACCTCAAAGGGATTCCAGAAACAGGTGTATAGGACAATCAAAAACACACTAAATTATCAATGCGCATAAACTTCATTTACTTATTTATATTTTACAATAACTGTAATGCCTTCTAAGTATATCTATAACTTAAACGACGCAGGTAAAATGATTTTGTTTTTAATTATCCGTATTTCACATTAAATCATTAAATTGCAACAAATCTTTGCACTATCATTGGTACGTGTGTGTTTTCTGCTGAGAAAGATTTAAGTGATCTATTAATAATGATAATAATATAGGAAGCTGTTCATATATTTACAAGCTGTATATATCAAACGTGTCCTTAGTGGCTCAGCGGCCAGTCAGCAGGCATACGTCGCTAAACTTCAGGTTTCGATATCTATGGTGGGCACAGCACAGATAGCCCATTGTGCACTGTCTAGTTTAAGGAAAGAGAGGCAAATTTGCCGTAGTGCACAGGGCCCAAAAATTCTTTAATTTGGGATTAATGTCCCCCAGTGGATCAGTAGTAAGTTTACGAACTTGCAAGCCTAACTGCGGGATTCGATTCCTCGTAGTGGATACAGCACAAATAGCCTTTTACGTAGCTTTGCGCTAGAATAAACAAACAAACAAACCGACTGCTTGTTTTTATCGCATAGTCTGCGTAATACGCTGCTCAACTGCACGCACGCGCTTATCAGCAGAAGATCCTGAATGCTCGTATCATATATAACACAAACAGCTCACTCCACGGGCATGTGTGCTTTTTTCCGCCATTTCTGGAATTAAGTGGGAGAGTGACGAGGAAAAGTAGGGTGTAACATACATTTTATAAGCAAGGAATATCTGTATGTTTGTTAGATAAATTTGGTTCGTAGAAAAATAAATGTTTTTTACGTACTGATTTGTTCTTAAACTCAAAGAGGATATCGATTTTCTGATTTAGCGTGAGTCAGCTTGTTTACACATCCCGGAGCAGCAAAGCCCTTTACCTCTGTCAAGTGCGGTGTAGACGTGTTTGTAAGCCTTGGCCGTTGTTCGCTTGAGCTATCTTCAGTGGGTGAGCCGGTTTTCCTTTCTATGTAACTGTAAAGTAAACCAGGCTTAAACTCATGTAATGCTCTTGTTCGAAGACACGACTCATAAACCTGTAATATTTATAAAAAAACATTATAACTCGCTATAGCGCTGACATTAGGCATAGTTTAAAATATATTTTGAACGGTTTGAATTTTATGAGTTAGTGCTTAACATTAACAGTCTCTGTTGTATTGGCAAGATTATTTTTAAAAAATGACGATATAAATAATTACTAGAGCAAGCAATATTATTAATTTATTATTATTATACTATGTTAACTTACGCCTTAGTTGTAAGTAGTAACACTAGTAATGAGTGGTATACTTTCGCAAGTTTATCTTAGCACCCTCTACTTCAAGTAGTTAATAATACCAAAGTTTTATTACAATTATTATAAAAATATTTAAAATAAAATGTTATTGATATGAACTAAAATAGTTGAGATGGGGTTTTAGGTGGTAAATAAATACGTGTAGGGAGTAAGAACATATTTAACATCTAATTGTTTTTTTATAGATAATACTTGTTTTGATAATTAAACTTTAACTGGAATTTGATGTTCATAATTTGTAAATAGTTAGAAACTAAAGTGAGCCTCGTATGCCTCCCAGTTCACCAGCACCTGGCATTTACTCATGACACTGATTACAGAAGAACATATGTAATTCATTTTTACTGACTTTCCAAATGAATTATTATTAACTTCCAATCAGTGCAAGCTACCTACTTTTATTAAGTTTTAAGGTAGATCAAAAATAAATTTTCATAAACCTGGTAATGAGTGTAGCTAATTAAATATGCAGTATTCATGTCAATGTTGAACCATTTCCCTGTGGTGGTTTACTTAGCATGAATTCTTACAATATTTTGTGTTTAAGGAAATTCACAAGTATAGTTAATTTGAAAAATGAGAATGGTGATCAGAAAAACTAGGTCAAAAACCAAGAATTTGGGTGCGTGACTGTAGCCTTCATGGCCTTAAACTGCTTTTAAATCTAGTTTTTGAACCTGTGTACAATAAATTTTAAGACAAATTATACTTAAATTACCTAATTTATTAGGATTATAGTGCAAAATTCATAAAAGTGTCATATTGTTTTTAGTGATGATCTTAATAAATGTGATAAATAACTTTTTGTGACTTTGTGGTTCTTACACTTGATATATAAGAAGATTGGAGATAAGACAAACTTAGTGTTTGACTTGTGGAAAAATAAAGTTGATAATAGCACCTTAAATATTAGAGATAATACATAAAGAAAACAAGGGGTCCATTGGTCCATCAAGGCTGTCACATCCACATCAAACAAATAAAAACAACAACATCAAATTAGTTAAGTATTTATTAAGTCTTTTTTTTATATGACTATCTTAAATTTTTTTGCATCCAGCACATCAGAATGCAACCCATTCTAAAATGCCAACCACCCTGTTAGAAAAGTAAAACTGTCTTGGCTGAATACAACTCCTATACCCTTCCAAAACTTGTGTGTGTCCCTTTGTTCTATCATTGTGAATGTAAAATACAAAAACAGATGATGCAACAGTACTACTGATTCTATAACTACTTTTCAAGTGTCACAACTAATGAAAATAATCAACTAATTGATATTAGTATTTCTGATTGTTACTGTTTTTGATTATTCCAACATTCTAAATTTTGTGAAAATAATCAATTAGGTGAATGTAATAGATTAATAAGCCCAATAATCAGTGATTAATTAATTGGCATTTCTAATAATTGCCATGCTTTAATATTTCATACATTTATTTTGATTGAAATCTATCAGCCAGTTTTTCACCAAATGATCTAATTAAGTGTCCCACAAAAAAAAATTCACTAAGTAAATATTTTAAAATGGAAATTATATCAAGTTCCAATTATAAAAACACATTTCACCCCTCACAAATATCCCCCTTCTGTGTTGGTGTTGACTTATAAGCTTAGTTCATTAGAAGTAGGTTTGTTTTAGGATAGACTTTTCTCTTGTATACTCAGTTTATAGAATTGCTTCTGGGAGAACGGTTGTATAGAAGAAATATAAGATTCTTCGTGAAAATAATATAGGAGGATTCCAGAGTTTAAATTTAATAACTTTATTTGGCTAAACATTGGAATAATTAAAAACATAAATAATGTTGAATAAATATACAGGAACATCTTTATTTTTGTTTAAGTGCTTGAAACATGTGTGATTGCATCATGTGACTTCTTTTTAAGAAGTATCTAGATGTATCAGTAAACACTGCTGAATGTTATTATTTTAATGATTATTTATGTTATTATTCCAGTTTCAAACCAAATAAAGTGTTGAATTGATCTTGAGAGTTAGGAAGATTTTATTAACAAAAAAAGCATTTCAGTGCATCTAAAAATTTAGTTTAGAAACCTGTTTGACACATGAAAAAAAGGAATAATAATAAAAAAAGGAAATTATAATTTTGAGAGTGATACAATTAAATTATTACCTGTTACAGAAAAAAAGCTATTAGAAAAATCTAAAAAATGCAGTACTTCATAAGACATTATACATAAAAGCTAATAAGATACCAGAAAGTCTTATTATAGTTTTAAAAACAAACAAAAATTAATGTTTTATTCCAATCAACACATTCAGAGCAAACAAAAAAAGTTCAATGAAAGCAAAATAATAAGACAAGCAACAAAACTTTTATTTGAAATTATTAAAATCTAAATCTAAACCAAATCTTATAACAATCCTGTATAACAAAAATTATTTAAGTAAATGTATCTAGAAAGCATACGTGTTACAAGCTACATAACTTATTAAACAATTAATATTTCAAACATTAATACAGCGTTTTGTTTTTATAAGTAATTATTGGCACATTTGTGAACAGAAGAAAAAAATAACATTCTATCAGTTCAGTCATATTCAATATGATAAATACACTGAAGTAGTATTTAACTTAGAAGAAAAAGGCAGCTTCAGAATAAAATACCTAAACTTCCTGAAACAACATATATTAAAATGAAAAACACACACGTATATATATAATAAACATATTTTCCACAATAACAGTTGGTAAGTTAATTATAAGATCATCAACAAGAAACAGTAATGATGAACAAAAACATAAGTAAGCGTTCTTGAAACATACAAAACAAAAAAAGTCCAACAAAAATTAAAGCTAACATAAATTAAGTTAAAAAACATAGTGAGGGGTTTAGATTTTGTAAAAAAAAATTAAAGAAGGAAAACATAAATAATATAGCTGAGTAATAAAAAGAGATAATAAAAAACATTAGTAATATACACCATGTCAAACCCAATTATATGTTTTACATTATTCCCATGTATAAAATAAAAATTGTTTATCAAGTAAAGCTAAAACTACTAATCTGTAGAAATGTCGTAAAACCATGAAGAATGGACATTAAAAACTTACTGTTTTTTTTTTCTATTTAAAAATAGTAAAAATGTGATAAGCACATTTAAGACAGTTCTGTAAATTTTTAAAATCTTAGTTGTATATGTAAATTAAGAAGCACGTATTGAAACATTTGTAAACAAAAGATTTATTCACTGTTGTCTGTCCTTGTAAATATATCTGTTTGAAAACAAATACTTACTGAACATAGTCTTTCCTTGTGACGTATTAGCTTGAAGATAAAGTTATTGAACACTGTCCTCATATCAGTGTGAAGATTTAAAAACTTCTTTTCATAGCCAGTACTTTTGCCCTACATTCTCAAGTTCACAAAGTAAAATAAAATTTACTGGTGCACATTTAGAGAATATACTATAATGTGATTAGAGCTAGGTATACATTATTTGTTTTTGTTGCAACAAAATTATTTTTCTAATAATATTTACCAAATTTTTAGGCATACAGTTGAAATTTTGTAATTTTAAAATCTTGTTTACTTATTCTGTGTTCAAATATCTTGCATTTTTCTTCAAATATCTTATTACTACATAAATATAATGTGAGTTAAGTTTTACATAAAACCATTAAATGTTATATTTATTTTATTAGTGTCTTAAATATTTTAGCTACACATGCATTTATATCCCAGTGATTTTGTTTAAAAAATCTACTGCAGACAATATTGATATTTTAATATGTATTTCTTGTATTTAATTTTCTAAAACAGTGGTTGAAGTGGGCTGGTATGCACTTTTTTAAATCTTTGTTTTCCTCCTTTTATTTGAAAAAGGTTTTTCCTTTCCTGAATTTTCAGAAAATATATTTATTATTTTCAACTTGCTCTTTGTTTACTTCTTCTTTCAACTCAGTTTTTATTTAAAATTGTTGGTACTCTTTCACATTTGCTTCTTACCTAATGATGTTGCATCGCCATTTGGCATTGCTTCACTTTTAATTGCTAGTGAGAAGTTTATAGTACATTTAATAAAATAAAATTATGCCTTATGACAGTAACAACATTAAAAATAATAATAATTAGACTCGACATTTTAAAATAGCCTAATTTCATTAACAACTTTCATTCCTGTCAACTCATTTTGGTGTCTACATTAGTTATTACCATGAAAACCCTTAATTTTCTTTAGTTACCTTTAGGATTGTACAATGACTCATTTAAAGACCTTCAATATCATATAATAATAAAATAAGATTTAAAACAAATCACTTTTTTTTTTCCATGAACTTTTATACCTTCGCACAACTTCTGCATTCTTGCAGGGAGTCGTCATTTAGAAGAAGGAAGCTGTGACATTGATACAATTGCATGATACAGCAGTGTGTATCACTGTAAGGAACTGAAAAGCACTGCAAATTATGATAGCGATATTATGATATCCCCCCTCTCTCTCTCCCCAAAATGCTTGAGCATGATATTGAATCTGCGGTAAACAGTAATATGGTTGTAGGCTTTCTAAACTAATAAAAATACATAGTTGCCATGTAATGCTTGACAGGTATTTATATTGAACTTCTGAATCAAGTCCACTCTAATTCCAGAGTACACAAACCCACGTAGCTTAAATGACT